TCTCCCTGCAACATCATCAAATGTCTACATCCCTTTCCCTATTCTACTTTTTTTGGGTCCGTCGTTGACAGTGGAGCAGTGATAGAATATGACCTGTACGCCCCGATATGGGCGTACTGGTGACTGTTGTGAGCACCAGGTACCGTTTCGGTATGGTGCTCCGGAGGGCCCACCTGTCCGCCAATGGTCCTTACCTCTATTTGAGCCAACCGTGGCAATTGCGCACACGCACAGAACGTATTGTGCCGGTGCAATGCTCCCCCGAGCAGCTGGAGCATCGCGGGTGGTGGGTATGCATGCGCGCGCTGCAGGCATGGACGTGGGGGACACCAGGCCCCGTTGCAGCTTAACAGTTGCAACAGGAGCCGGAACCCACCACTGCAATGGAGATATCCCATATCCTAAAGTCTAGGACAGCAATTGTCCTCCTACATGGCCCAGGGATGGGATTCAACCAGGCAAACTAATAATGCTAATTTTATATCTGGTTTGCCAAACTGGTAGTTGGAAGGACTGGCTGGCCATGCCCACCCCACCCCGCCCCTCCCAGGAGTCTCCCCGCGGCCTGTTTTGGATGCTAGGTGTGCAGGGTCTGCGCAGAGGCTCTGGGAGGACAAAAAATGAGCCTTCCCGAAGTCCCCTGGAGCCCAGGGGAGGCTGTTTTCACCCTCCTGGAGGCTCGGGGAAAGCCTCCAGAGCCTTGGGAGGGCAGAAAAATGGGCCTACCGGAAGTACCAGAAGTCCAAAAACAGGCCCATTTTCACCCTCCCGGAGCCTTGAGAAAAACCTCTGGAGCCTGGGGAGGGAGAAACCCCTCCCCACAACAGTGCAGGAGGTTGAGTAGGCCATGCCCACCATGGCCAACTCCCACCCAGCAACCAGGCAGAGAACCGGTTGCTAAATTTTTGAATCCCACCCCCGACGTGGCCTTTAGGGTCTTGAAAGCAAAGTACCAATCCATTGGGAGATCTCGGCAGGGGTGAAACTCGGGGGGCAATTGCTCCCATTGCTTCTGCCACTCCTGAAAAGGACCAGGCTTCAACCAATAAGATGCCACCTCCTGTCTCCCCCTTGCTTGACGTCCATGTGACAATTTGAGGTTCTCCTAGGTTGAAAGATGGGGAGGGGGGGAAAGCGAATGTCTGTTTCCGGTTTCTTGCAAAACCGTTCGACTGCCTGGATCAGTTTCCGGAGATGAAATGGAGAGAAGTCCCTTCTGGGCCCCCACTGGTGAACTTTCTATCCTCCACAATCTTATGTAGCATGTTCAATTATCCAGATGTGAGGGCAAGGCTGGGACAAGTTGCCAAATTGGACGGAAATGACTTTTACGGAAGAAAAATGTAACTTCTACACACAGCTTTGGTCCATATCAAGCAGATGCAATAACGACAACGACAACCACAATAAAAAATGGGATGAAACCGAGCACAAATGTGATTGGCCGTGGTGTCCCCCATGCAGGATTGGTCAGCAAACATCATGAGAAGCTCCAGAGGCCCCCCCCAAACCCTTGAGATTTTATTGCTTTGAAATAGGAATCTATGCATGGTCACCCAACTCAGGAACATACAGATTAGGGACCTTACTGGATGAGAAGACTTAAGAGTTGTTATTTCTCCAGCATAATATTATGGGATTACAAATTGGGGAAGGTTGCACCACTTCTTGAAGCCAGGTGGATTAGAACAGGGGTCTTCAACCTCCAGTCCATGGAGGAAAAGGTTTTCCTTGTCCAGTTGTGCCCTACTCTAGGGGAAATATTCATCTCCATTTCCTAGCCAAGGGAGCTACCTGTGAAATTTCCATAAGATGCCCTAATTAAATTATGAGCCTCGAGACAAAGTTCAAAAGAAATCCAGTTTTTTTATTAGGAGCAACTTTTTGGCATTTTTTTTTGCTGCGGAGCCAAATCTGATTTTCGTTTAATGGCATCTGGACTTTACTCCTGTTTCTCCCCCTCCCGTCAGTCTGTGTCATAAATCACATCCACCAACGAGGTGCTGCAGAAGGCTGTAAACTTTCTCACCTCAGACACCTGCTGTAGAAATCTGACATCCAACTCTGGTCGAAAGTATGCATGAAATTCTCCCTCCCTTCAATGTCAACTTGATAATAGGCATGGAAACGCCTTACAAGTTGACCCTACCTTTGTCCAAAGACAACCCCAACTCTACTAGAGGTATCTGATAGGTACTGTTCTGACCTAGGCTTCCAGAGAAAGCATAAATCACAATCTTAATCCCCAAAACCCTCTTTTATTCATACGGCTACGAATTATGGTCATTCCCAGTCCACAAGGCTTCACAAACAGTCTGTGAAGATTCCGACAGATGTCTGCTCGAGTTGCCACAGTCTTTCAAGGGAATGTTGATAAGCACCCACCTTATCTCCCTGGGAACGCTGCCAGAGACCTAATTGCCAAAGGCAGAGCGAGGCCAAACTTAGCACAGAGTCAAGCGAGGGAGGAAAGAAGGAAGGAAGAGAGGGGGAGGGAGAAAAGAAGAAATGAGAGAGAAAGCGAGGGAGGAAAGAAGGAAGGAAGGTGATAACTAAGATAAAGATAGACAGGAAGGAAGGAATAAAGAAAGAAGGAAAGAAAGAGAGGGGAGGGAGGGAAGAAGAAAAGAGAGAGAACAAGGGAGGGCAGAAGGAAGGAAGGAAGAAGGAAAGAAAGAGAGGGGGAGGGAGGGAAGAAGAAAAGAGAGAGAAAGCGAGGGAGGGAAGAAGGAATGAAGAAAAAAGAGAGAATAAACAATACATGAATAAAAGCACCCTCATTTTGCAAAACTGGACAAAAGCGGGGTTGCAACCTTTTTCAATAACTGGCTGCCAGTGGCTCTCCCAAAGACTCTCCCAAAGCTTGATTGACAAGCTTGAACCGACCAGATGAAACTAATTGCTTCCTGCAAAGGCTCACGTCCCGTTCGCTCCTCTTTTATGTCTTATGAGGGGAGCCAATCCTCTCCAAGCCTTACTCCCAAGGCGACCTTGTTTTCTTAATCGTTCTTGCCTTCTGGCAGCTCTGTGCATGCCCACATTGGGAACAGGCTCCTACTGTTCTTCTGCCTCACTAATGTCAGACTCCAGAGGCTCTGGAGGCAGCAAATGACTACCAGCTGACCTTGGCCCCCTCTCTGCCTCTGATGCAGAGACCTCGTCCGAGCCCTCCCCAGACTCCAGGACTGGCCCATGTTCCTCCCCAACCTCCTCACTGCCCAAATCTGCTGGCCGCTGGCAGGCCCACAACAGATACATTTCTGGGGGCGCCTGGGGTCACCTTTGCTTTGTCATGTTACAAAGGGAGGCTAAAACATACAACAAAGAGTTGCAGGAACTGTGTATATTTACTCCAGCGAAGAGGAGGATTAGGGGGGACAGGATAGCACTCGTCAAGGGGCAACTCACTGTGGCCCCAACTCGCCGCGGGATAACTCAACAACTCAATGGTTTAAATTGATTTAAGTATTATTTTGAAGAGGAAGTTGATCCCTCCCCACATCCGGTCCTCTTTGTGGAAGCCCCTCAAATATTGCAACACTGCTCTCATGCATCCCCTCGTCCTTCTTTCCCCTTGAGTTTTTGAGCAGAAACTATTGGCTGGATATCACCAACCACTGGAAGCAGCCTTATGTCTATGGAGAGTCTCCGTCATCCTGGTTGTCCCACTGGTGCTTTTTCAAGAGGCCACCGGACTTTCTGATTTTTCTTTGGAGACATTCTGCTTCTCATTCAAGAAGCTTCTTCAGCTCTGACTTGGATGGTGGGGGAAGAGAAGGATTGATACTCCTTGCAGACGGCTGGTCATTTGCATCCTTTTGGAGGGTCGTTGAGGCCGCTTGGAGGTTTTATCTGTGTCCTCAAGGTCCACCTGAGTTGTTCAAATGGGTGTGGAACCTTCTCGGAACTGCTGAAAGGCTCCACACCCATTTGCACCCCTCAGGTGACCCTGAGGACACAACGACAAACCTCCAAGTGGCCTCAACGACCCTCTGAAAGGATGCAAATGACCAGCTGTCTGCAAGGAGTATAAAACCTCCAAGTGGCCTCAGTGACCCTCTGAAAGGATGCAAATGACCAGCTGTCTGCAAGGAGTATAAAATCTCCAAGTGGCCTCAACGACCCTCTGAAAGGATGCAAATGACCAGCTGTCTGCAAGGAGTATAAAATCTCCAAGTGGCCTCAACGACCCTCTGAAAGGATGCAAATGACCAGCTGTCTGCAAGGAGTATAAAATCTCCAAGTGGCCTCAACGACCCTCTGAAAGGATGCAAATGACCAGCTGTCTGCAAGGAGTATAAAATCTCCAAGTGGCCTCAACGACCCTCTGAAAGGATGCAAATGACCAGCTGTCTGCAAGGAGTATAAATCCCTTCCATTCCTCACTATCCGGTCAGAACTGAAGAAGCTTCTTGGATGAGAAGCGAAACGTCTTCAAAGAAAAAAACTAGAAAGTCCAGTTGCTTCTTGGGAAAAATAAAAA